TCTACTATATGCTGAGGGGATGGGTAGGTTGTGATTAGTCATGGGGCGGCCCCCTGAAAACTACTAGATCTTCTTCCGATAATCTTATTCTAATAAAATTATTTTTATTAATGAAAATTGAGGTAAAGTGAAATGTTTACCTGTTGTATTAGGTGTGGACGGGTATGTACAGGTACGTGGGTACTTGTTCCCTGCTGGGTAATCAGATCAGTACGGTACCGTAACTCAGCTACGTATACGTATATACTCTTAACATCGATCAAAAATGTCAATAACGGTGTTTAGTTTTTAAAAAACTGCAGACTTAAGCTTCTATCCCTGATCAAGGTTTCTTAAAGGTTAAACTTCACTAGTTTATATATATATAGGGAAAGACGACTAAGCTGCTGTCAGCAAGCGCCATATTTAGCAAACACAATAAATTAAAAGACGTACGTTTTTTTCTTAACACCTTCTATCCATTATAAGTCACTATAAGTTTTTACGTCATGTCAAGTAAATACATCATTTATATTTTAAAATTCATGGATAGCACTAGGGGAGAAATATGAAACAATTCTCGCGTTTTCCGACAATATTTTCGGCGGGTGTAAATCTATTCTATACCCCCTTATCTGCATTGAATTTTCACTGGATTTGGCGAATACTTTATATTTTTTGAAGGTGTGGATCGTACATTGTGACTTTTGGTAAGTGAAAACGCCTTTGTACGTACATTGTATATAATAAAATATATACTAGTTTTCTCTAAACGCCTTGGTATGTATATAATACAATATATACTAGATTTCTCTAAACGCCTTGGTACGTACATTGTATATAATAAAATATATACTAGATTTCTCTAAACGTCTTGGTATGTATATAATAAAATATATACTAGTTTTCTCGAAACGCCTTGGTATTTATGTAATAAAATACATACTAGTTTTCTCTAAACGCCTTGGTATGTATATAATACAATATATACTAGATTTCTCTAAACGCCTTGGTACGTACATTGTATATAATAAAATATATACTAGTTTCTCTAAACGCCTTTGTACGTACATTGTATATAATAAAATATATACTAGTTTCTCTAAACGCCTTGGTACGTACATTGTATATAATACAATATAAACTAGTTTTCTCTAAACGTCTTGGTATGTATATAATAAAATATATATACTAGTTTTCTCTAAACGCCTTGGTATGTATATAATACAATATATACTAGATTTCTCTAAACGCCTTGGTACGTACATTGTATATAATACAATATATACTAGTTTTCTCTAAACGTCTTGGTATGTATATAATAAAATATATACTAGTTTTCTCTTTGTATTGCCACCGCCGGTTCAAACTTGCCTGAATTTAATATCATTTCGTGATCAGCTTTACAACATCTGAACAACGGCAGTTTATAAATATAGCTCGTGTGTTCTATGCAATCGTAATGATACTGACCTCAAAGTCAAAGGTCAAGGTTTCATGTTCTGTATTACGGGAGTTATTTAGTAATCAGGTTGTCCACCCGTCCGTCTGTCTGTCCGTTTTTTCTTTCTTTTGAAATATTGATGGAAGTAAACGGAGTATGTTTTTGAAAAATTACACGATGATTTCCCATGCATCCTAGTTCTACTTGGTAATTTTTCGGGCAAATCGGATTCAAAATGGCTGCAAATCAGCCATCTTGGATTTTAACATTAAAAAATCTTTTTTTTTTGTTGCTCTTAACTGGTAAACATTTTGTTCTGACATTATGAAGCAAAGTTGGTCACAATCAAACAAGGTATCAACTGACCAAAGCTGAAGGTCATTGGGTCAAAGTTCAAGGTCAGATTTACATCTATTAACTGATTAACATTTTGTTATGACATTATGAAGCAAAGTTGGTCAGAATCAAACAAGGTGTCAAGTGACCAAATCTGTAGTTCATTCAGTCTAAATACAAAATATTTAAACATGTTACTTTGCAAATTGTATGTTGATGGGAACATCAGATTTTAATTAGGGCCGCGTATCGGAGATAACGGTGCCATATAGTAATCACTCTGTCTGTCGGTCTGTCCGTCCGTCCACAAGTTTTGTTCCTGGCTGATTACTTTGGTATTAATTGACCGATTTACATGAAACTTGTTCAAGATGTTCAGTTCACAAAAATACACACTGAGGTTAAAGTATAGGTCAAAGGTCCAGGTCATATTTTGCATTTTTTTTAACATTTTGTTATGACATGATAAAGCAACGTAGATCAGAATTAAAAAGGAGTCAACTGACTAAAGGTCAGGTCAACGGGTTAGAGGTCAAGGTTTCAAAGGTCAAGGTCAAATTTTGAAGCTTTTCATTAATGAGCATTTTATGACATTATGAAGCAAAGTTGGTCGGAATTAAACAAAGAGACACACTGAGGTAAAAAGTCGAGGTCAAAGGTCAACTGACCAAAGGCCAGGTTATCTGGTCAGAGGTCAAGGTCAAATTTTGTAGCTTTTCACTAATGAGCATTGAGGTCAAGGTCACTGGGTCAACGGTCTAGGTAAAATTTGTTAGCTTTTCACTAATGAGCATTTTATGACATTATGAAGCAAAGTTGGTCGGAATTCAACAAAGAGTCAACTGACCAAAGGTCGAGATCACTGGGTTAATGGTCAAGGTTAAATTTTGTATCTTTTCACTGTTGAACAGTTCTTTATGGCACTTTGAAGCAATGTTGGTCGGAATTAAACAAGGAGTCATTTGACCAAAGGTCAAGGTCACTTGGTCAAAAGTCAAATTTTGTATCTTTTCACCGATGAACATTTTGTTATGACATTTTTAAACAAAAGTTGATCGGAGTTTAACAAAGAGTCAACTGACATAAGGTCAAGGTCACGGTCAAATATTGTATCTTTTTACTGATGAACAGTTTTCTTATATTATTATGAAGCAAAGTTGTTCAGAACTAAGGTCCAGGTTACGGGGTCTAAAGGTTTAAGGTCAAGTTTGTATTTTTCACTGATGAACAATTTGTTATGATATTGTAAAGCAAAGTTGAACGGAATTAAGGAATAAGTCAACTGACCAAAGATCAGGGTCACTGGGTTAAAGGTCAAGGTCATTTGGGTCCAAAGGTCAAAGACAAAGTGGATCTTTGACTTTGACCCTGGCTCTTGATGGAGGAGGTATTTAAGGTGAAATCAAACAAACCAAAGCTAACAATGAGTATTGCACCCGAATTTAAATTTCTGTTAGCCAAGCAAATATGAAGGTGGGAGGAAACAAGACTTGCATCATAGTACATGTAAAATGTATATTTTGCTTCCTTGCGATTCTAAGTCCAAATGTCAAACGTCAAGCTCAGCTATATGGGCAGATTGCTTCTTGATGATTATGGGGGAAATATTGCCACAAGACGGGGCCCTAACTGACCTGTCAGTGTTCTAGTTAGACACAGAATTGTCATATTAGGTCATCCTGCTAATTGATTACAACGAAGATGTTCGAATGTAATTATATACATAAATAGTTACAGCCATATTCCAGCCTTGGTGACTGAAAGACATTACCCCAGTCATTTTCTGGATAGACCACGTGACCTTGTTCATGCTGAAGTCATGGAAGTCAGTAGGATTTGCCACAGTTGGTTTGGAAACAGTTGATTTACGTTCATAGAGGTATCCACCTCAGTGCTATTGTCCGAAAGTTTCTAATTAATAGGTCTCTAAAAAACAGTTATAATTTTATTGACTTAATTTCACATTAGGTCATAGGGCGCATCCACCTTCTCGCCAAATGTACCCAGTTGTTGAGACCATTTAACATATATCTTCGTATTCTCACAAATATTCAAACTCAAATTGCAAGTACCGGTATAGAGATTGAAATGATCATATGAAGACAGAAATTAACTGCAGTAATAAACAGGAGTCTATATAGAAGCAATAAAAATTACGAAATTGTAAAAAGTGTTAATCCTTGCGCGAATAGGAGTCCGTTGCTGGCTAGGTACCTATACTTTAGATCTGTCAGCAATGCAAGTAAGGATATGAAAACAATACATCTTTACAAGCTACCGACTTAAAAATGATATTCAAACCAACGATTCAAGGACATAGGAACAATGTCATAATGTCACAGAGGTCAAGGTTCAGAGTAATATACAATAAAACCTATCTTTTTCTTTCACGTGTGTCCAGCAAAACAGGGGGTTTAGCAACATACTTTGCACGACGGAATTGTAGCATTATAAAGGGACTTCGAAGCATAGTTTACCCTTTAGAATGCAGTTGATACCTCTTCATCTCAACCTACTACTGGTCAAATTCATGACCCAATGCCTCTTTTTTATATGTACTATTAAGAATAGTTCCTTCTAAGAAAAAAAATTGACGTCAGACTTCGTTTCATCGCGTAAGCCTTGTGCTGTAGATGCTGAATCAATTTCACCTGCAGTTACCAACACTGGTATGCAGGTACAACTTGGGAGGATGGAGTGTCGAAAAGAAAGTCACTGTGACCTATATTAGGATTGAAGGCATGTTTCTTATGCTGTTTTTCATGGAGTTACTAAACTTTAGTTTGCAGGAATATCTTGTGATGGTGAAAAGTTACATTTAAAAGAAGTAGGTCACTGTGCATATATTCAGACCTCCGACTCCAGTCATTGAAGCAGTTTTTTCTGTCTTTTAGATGAAATAGTAGTGAATAGACGTTTGAGTAATCACATTTTGGTATGCCATACACTCTGCCTTCTCATAATGTACCAACATGCCAACTATGAAATCCACCAAAAACAGTGGCCAACTTAGGCTCCAGAAATCTGTTATTTAGCACTTGCAGTCAAGGTCAAAGGTCAAATAGGGATTGCAGTGTTCCTATTTTGGTCTGAGACAGTGTATTAATACAAAAAGTAAAACAGTGGCTGAGATATGCTCCAGAAACTGAGACCTGGACACACGAGGCTAACACCATACACCCTACTGTCATTCTGCGTGCAGATATACAATTACCTTTCTAAGAACATAAAACACAATACATTTGTGATTAATTTTGATTTATTTTAACAGAAGTATTAATACTAAAATAAAATGTGTATAATTCTTGAACAAAAGTAAAGACATAAATCTATCCACCTGACTGTACTTTCTGCCATTACAGCCTCTAAACCTTGAACAAAATATTCTGATGACACAATCAAATGGATGTGTTTCAAGATAAAATGGAATTAAAAAACCCATGTTAACACACCAATGATGTGTGTATAACTTATTAGAATCAACTTCAATTCAATAAAATTAAAATCACATTGATGATTCTGTTAGTATTTTAGTTGTTTTTTCCTTCATTTTAACAAATTAAAGGAGAGCTCCAATTGATCGCTGGTTATTTTTTACTGGAAGCCTTCTCCCTTCTTTAATGATGAAGCTAAAATGAGTTTTTCTGTCTTAAGTTACTTCCCTTTTCAATTATTCATCTCTCGATTATGCTTTGTACCGGATTGGAAAGTGTAAAGGTGGCATTGGATTGGTTCCAGGTTCAAACCCTGCTTATTTTGGCTGTTTTCTTTCTACTTTCTTTTAAATAATCAAATTTTGAACTACTATAATTCTGAAAAAATCATCGCAAGATGTGACATACAAGGGAAAAGTCTGTAGAAAAGGTTGCCTCATCTCTAATGCAAGAATAATACAGTCAGTTGAATGTGGACAGAGTGAATATATATAAAGACGGAATGTGTTGTACATTTAAAAATGGTAACTTTTTTTGCTGGAAAAAAGATTGCATGTTGTTGCATAGATTGTATCATATCAAACAAAGACATTTAAAACATTATTTACCTCAACGATTTTTAGTAAAGATACAAGACATGTGAATTGTGTCTCTGTCTGCCTCACTGAAACTCTCCAGTAATTATTCTTCCTGTAAGTAATTGTGGGTACTCCAATTTATTTAATTACTATAGAGTTCTTATCGCAGAGATTTGATAGAGGGACAACAACATTATGTGTTCACGGCCGACGTAATCAATACTTCAACAGCAATATAAAATCTTGTAGCGTGCATGCGACAAGGAAATCATTTTATTAAGAGCTCCGGTTCACTTCCTAAAAATCTCCACCATACACAACTTTCATAATCAATCAAAATTTTATCCATTTTCAATTTATTTTGATGTACATGTAGGTATTAATTTACCAATTATGAAAACCATTGTTTATCAGGAAAATACATTTTAGCAAAAATCCTTATTGAAATAACAAACGATGCTTTCCTTTCTCTGGCTGAGGGGAGAGATTAAATGATTTCTGAAAAGAGGAGATCCAAACATGGGAATCTTTTTTAAGGTACCCACCCTCATAGATCAGACATTGCTTTACATCCAGACCTAACGTTATATCTAAAATATATATTGTATTACATCAACAGTTAAATTAATATATATCATACACAGCGATAACATTACTTACCTGTAAGTAACATGTTTTAACAGATCATTCGGTTAACTGATAATATACATATGTAAATGTGTTAATATCCTGACCAGCAGGCAATAATACAAAGCAGTATAAGCTCATAACAGATATAAATGTGTAACAATTATAATGGATGTGTTCAATATGTTATCAAAAACTTCAGCTGTACCTGGGACCAGCATTGTTATTAAAATCCTATTACCTCATAATTTCATTACTGGTATCTAAACATAGAAATGTACGCTAAATAATATGCATATTAACATATTTATGTATATATTGGTAGATTTTCCATGCAAGTTCAGAAATATTTAAGCCTGATCACATTTGAGCAATTTTTCATGCTAAATACAAAATCCCTGTATTTTTTTGCATGCTTTCCATTGGTGTACCATGATGCATATAACTTGCAAATTGTTGATGCTGCGAAGAAATAATGAACGAGCAATTATAAATATGTTTACAAAAGAAATACTTGTTTTCAAAAGTTTTTGACAAATAAAATTCACAATTTACTAGAAATACTATGGTATTTTTCTCCCTACCTTGAACACACTTTCATTGAACATGAGAGAAAGTGCTGCAGCGGCTGATCAATGGTCTGATAATACATTAAAGTACAAAACCATACCGTTATAATCAAAGCTATATTTACACAAGGTAATTGAAACTGGTGCAAAACAAACTTCATTCACAAAGCCTTACATGGTATTCATACTCATGAATAAATTACCTGGATTTTCTGCACACCTGAACATTCCATTACGTGAACATGTATTTCAAATTAACGACTGTTTATCAATAAATATGCAAACCTGTTTAATTAATTAGAGCCATTTCAATAAAAACATCATGCATAAAAAAAACAAGATAATATTTTCATTAATTGGATTCAATCTATGGCATTTTCATAAATAACACTACTAGAAAAATTATCAGTTCACTTTATCAATAAGCCATTCATACTCGGCTAGATTGAGTAAATATTGATTTTTTCTGACATAAAAACTGTTTAATTACTAATACCAGTGGTACATTAGTGAATTAAAAAAAAATCCACATCTGTTTGAGCCAATTTTATATTGGGTAACCATTCATTTCAATCAGGTTAGTAAATAACAATATTACTCATTTGCTTTACAATTGACAAATCAATAAAACGCAAACTAAAGGAAATTTTTATGACCAGGATAACATTTTAAAAAGGGTAAACAAGGCACCAAACGGAAATGAATGTTTATCATTCATGAGCCCTTATGTAACAAGAAGCTGTCCAACACATGTAGACTAACGAACAGCGGGCCAGTAATTCATATATTGTGATACATTTAATTAAGCTAATGCCAAATTTTCCATTAATAAAAAGGTTCTTGAGATGTGTGTTATTGGCAATATTGCATCTCTGGGTTTGCTCAAGTGGTTCGGCTTTCCTTGTCACCATCACATCTGGTGGTCTATTTCGTTTTCTTTGATTTGTCCATAGAAGCTGTGGTATTCTGAAGAAAAAGAAAAACAAAGATTGGTTTTCAATTTGCAGTACAAATAAGATTAAAATCAATACACTGTATTTTTTCTTGTCCTTATTGACAAATTGTTACAACCACCTGTTGGATAATTACGAACATTTAAGTCTTAAGTTAATGTTAACAAGCAGAACCGTTAAGTCGACTAAACTTATTAAAGGGAACATTAACATGAATAAGGGGAGCAAGGAAACTCTTTGACTGAATAGCTGTATAAGAGGAACAAATCATCAGCTTTACCTGCTGCAAATAAGGGGGTATTTTATCTAAATGAGAACAATATGCTATTTGCTCTGAAGAAGCTAGGTAATACATAGCTTTTTCTTGCTCTGAAAAGAGGAAAATGATATGTTATCTTGCTTTGAATAATGGGAACAATGATTTATTATGTTACTGTAAATAATGGGAACAATGATATGTTATACTGTGAATAAGGAAAACAATTATATGCTATCTTACTGTGAATAAGGGGAACAATTAAATAATTAAATGTTATCCTGTTGTGAATAAGGGGAATAATTACATGTTATCTCACTGGGAATAAGGAGAACAGTGACATATGTTATATTACTGTCAATAATGGGAACAATGATATGTTATCTTACTGTGAATAGGGGAAACAATTATTATTGTGAATAAGGGGAACAATTAAATGTTATCCTACTGTGAATAAGGAGAACAATGACATATTATCTCACTGGGAATAAGGGAAACAATTACATGTTATCTTACTGGGAATAAGGGAAACAATTACATGTTATCTTACTGGGAATAAGGGAACAATGCCATGCTATCTTGCCATAAATATAAGTGGAGCATTAAGGAATTCCTATTATAAATGAAAAAACCAAATATGAATATTTCTCTGCTTTGGTTAAATAATATGCAAAAGTATAAATAGCATAATACATTTATAAATGTGCTTGCATGACACAACCAAGTATGTGAATGTAGCAACTTAATTTGTACTGTAGAGGTGGGATGAACATGTTTAGATTCAGCTCAATCATAAAACTGCATAGTACCAGGAAATGTTCACCACATTTTAACTCACTTTGTTTACTCTCTGCAATGACTGTGAATTTATCATGACATTGAATATGAGCACACAGCATAACAAACACAGTAGTAATTACACAATCACATGTTCACTCATTCAACCCTCTAACTTCATATGTATCTTCAGGTGAATATTTGATTGGGCAAAAGTTTTTCTGTTTACAACACAAATATCACATTTAAAGCAACCCCATCAATACACAAGTGTGTAGTTTGGGGGGGGGGGGGATATACATTGTTAAAGTAGAGTTGTCACTACTAATGGGGAAAGCATGCATGATAGTTCAACAGATAAGAGTAGAACCTTCCCCACCATTACCTCATGGATAAAAGTAACTGAATAATAAACAGAAATTCAAAGCTTAGAAACCTTTGACCCCCAGTCAAAAACTGAACAAGTTGAGTTGCTGATGTCATTATTCTCTAAATGTCTGATCATTAAATGATCCTTTTGAATTCCGAATGTGCAAGTTAAGATTTAGAAATGTATAAAAAACATTTATAAAATGAAAGTGCTCTCAGGGTCCAGCCTTGATGTTTTATAAGAACAAGGTAACACAGACACAGGTTATGACATGCACACCTCCCCCTGTGTTGATGATGTATTCATGCTCAGCACTGCACCACAATCAATACATTCATGACAAGTACCTGTCTGTGTACACTGACAATATTACAGCATGTCTGCACTCGATCTCTAGACATTCCAGGCTAATATATGTAAGTGCACAACTTATCTTTGGGGAAAAAAATTACTGCATCAAATTTATCAGGCTATGTACATTGTTGTGTTAATTTTAGAATTCAATTTTCACATGTTATAAACATTACAGTACATTACAGTAAAATATGTCCATGTGTAATTTTACTGAGTGTGTGGTGTGATCACTAGAATATTTTCCCTGAGGTACTAGTTACTGAAATCCGAAAGACAAATATTTTGGTCTATTTTGCACCTAACAAGTAAAACATTGTTTGATTTCCTAATGATTTTTACATTAATCCCCAAATAAAAAGAGTTATTCTAAATAATCAAGAAAGAATGGGAAAATCCAGATGTGTTCCAAGTGTAATACATTAGTATGTTATAGTTCAAATTTACAGAAATAAGAAAGAAAATCTACATATTTTTATAGATAAGAGTCTACAGAGTGAATTAGGAGATTAAAGTAACTGATACATCTCATAAATGTAATCACTTACTCAGAGTACTCAAATCACATTAACAATTCTTCATGAATATGTATTTTTTTTCAATTCTTCAAAATGTTCTGGTATCCTTGAACCAAGCATTCGTAACATGAATCAAGCTGTGATCATTATAAGCTCTAATGGTTTTAACTATAAGGACACCAGAATAAACGAAATACATTTTATGAAAATATCTGTATGCAAAAATGTGCACTTTTCAGCTGTTTAATATGTCTTACAAACAAAACGTTTACGAAACAACTTTTTTTAACATATTTTATGTTTAGACATTTAATAACTCCACCAAAGATGATAGCTACGAAATCAATTTTGGTTATTATGTCACACAATAGACAGATTTTTTAACGGTAAGCTACCTGTATGTAATATAAGTGATCTATTTAGGTGCCACAGTCTGGCTAGAGGTGTATAGGTGCACCCCTTTCCCACTGATATACAAAATCTATAATGTCTATACACACTGCTGACTATTCAGGTGTTAAATTGTATTTCAATATACAAATACTTGTATCTACCTGGCGATATTGACGCTCTTTATTGCTGAACACATAAAATAAATGTTCCACCTTTTGTGCAGAGCTGTCGTCGTCGCCACAGATGTATGTTCATGTAAACGAGGAGTCGATATTGGCAGGATTTATTTTTGTTTGATTTTGTAAATTACAGACTATAAAAAGAACCCTTAGATTTTTCAAATATATTTACCTGTATTTAGTGTCAATTAACATTTCTGATGAATAAGGATGAAGTCAGTATCGGACATATTCCTATTTTATTAACTTTTGGTCTCAATCCTAGAGTACATATGTGTATAAAGCAGGTCAAACCTCACTGATTTTTGTACAGGTCTCAACCTAATTCAACTTCCAGACATTCAATAGATTTTGTTATATATGTCTATTCAAGTTAAAGGGAGACTCTGAATCAGTACAGCTGTTGAACATCTTACCTTTTGCTCAAATTTAATCAATTCATTCTACATAACAACTTAATGCTATGACATTTTTTTATATTTTATATTAAAAAGCAGCTTTTGTAAATACCTTTTTAGAATTTAACAAAGTATCATATATTTTAAATCTACATATCAGTAACACAAACCATAGTATCTTCAGTAAGATTCATCAGTTTGGATAACTGCATACATTTCTATTGATGAGCGAAATGTCCCATGTCAAGTGACATGAATTTACAGTTTTGTCACATTATTGTACAGGTACGAATCGCTCACTCAGTCATAACTTGACAAAGGGAACATTCAGTCTTAAAATGTTGTCACAAGTTTTGTATGTACACATTTGTTTTTGTATAAAATAAAACTTTGATATTACAAACCATAGTATCTGTACTACAATTATTCATAGTTCTTAACTTTACAAACAGCTCAGTATTATCGGCCATTGTAATGTGCAAGGCCTAATACACAACAGCTGCCAATACAAGGGATAAATTATAAAACATATGTATTTAAAAAACAATAACCTGGTACCTACTTTCTTAAAGCCTAAATCTATCAGCATTTCAAATTAAACAAGTCGCAAGAATAGCACTACAGTGCTAATGTTATTATGTTACATGTATATGCGACGTTAAATAAATTAAGCTTCTCTTCTTGAATCTTAAACAAATGAAATTCAGAAGCATAGTGTATATGGAAGACAAATTGATTTGATATCAAAACACTATACAATAATAAAATGCTTCACAACTACACAACTATAATTAGTAATCTGACAGATCGGATAAAAACGTTATTATTGTAGGTCATTCAAAAAGCTGAATTCATGTAATAACTGATACACTGTATTATTGATTTAGTATGTTTAATAAAATAACAGTAAAACTTGGTCAACCTTTTAACACCTAAATCTCTTTCCTACTCCATGGCATTCATATGTTTATGAATAACTGTTTCTCCTTAAAGATCTGATTCTTTAATAGAAATTCTTCCTCAAGTAATAACGCTCCTGGCTTAATTTAAAAGGTGGAAATTGCACAGGTGAAAACAATTAGATTGTAATTAATTGGAAATCGATTCCTCCACTACAAAGCAGAATTGTGTAATCAGGCTATCTTGAATAGTTTTCTTTCACTGGCCCATCCATCATGGAGTCTGACCTTCCTGTTTTTATTGGGTGTCGCAACCATTAGCCAGCTTATCTCATCCATGAATCTTGATGACCTAGTCAGGCCTTTCTTGTTAAAACCAAACATAAACCTTTCAACAAATCAAAAACAAATTTCATATAAATATTATCTATTAGATTAAAAAACCTGATATTTTGGTCAAAATTCACAGACGTTGAGTAATGGCTATAGGTATCAATGTTTCAGTATCTAAATGGCTATTTCAGTTTTGTTCCACACGGTGTAAGCTTATCACTCTTTGAAATAACATACACATGCAGATTGCACACAGGTAATGCAATTTATATTGGCTGGGACAGGATGGAGGCATTAATCAAAATGTGTTGTGAGATATATTGGTTCTAGAAGCATGGGTCTTGTAGTACCATACACAGATGGAGAAATAATAGCATATCGATAATACCCACAAATTCCTATTGTAAATTCTGGCTGGAATCACAATAGCATGTAATGTTAAAAAGGTTCCAATCCACAATTTCCTCTCTGTGCACAAAGTTGTGAGGACATTAACAGAAATCAATGTAAAAATCACAGATATTGAATAGATCATTTTA